GTCTCTCCTGACCGGAAAGGAGAAAGCACCGTGCTCAAAGCACGCCGGACGGTCACGCACAGTACGAGTGATCGGACAGACGCCTCATCAACCTGTGAACTCATAAATGCGGTTCATTAATGCTGGTCAAGTCCACTCGGATAGCAGACGGCCGTTGCCTCATATACAAGGATGGGCCTTCCCATTTTAGGTGACAGGACATAAAGCACAATCCCTCGAATGACCATTCATGGTATCGAGGAGCAGCTAGACGTCTCTGAAGAAGATATGGTCACATCCCATAATTCAAGGATGAGTCAAGCTGTCCTTCTTCCATTTAAAAGCCCCTTCCAGCACACTGGAGGAGAGGTCGCAAAACTTGGAGAAAAAGAGTTGAGACCAAGCTCTCTGCATAATCTTTGCATTGCAGCACCACTGTCTAGTTCCAAGCTCCGATCGCCGGCGAACTAAGCAGACCCGAACTCCATCGATTCGAGCTTCTACTGCGAACTGAAGCTCTCCAGCAACCTCGATCGAACGGTCCAAGGGAAGCAGATTCGACACGAGCATCGAGCGAAGCGTCCTATAGCCACCTAAAGTCCCCACACAAAACAAAGAGGGCTTTCCCTCTGCTTCTGTTGTAACCATTTGATTATTAGTTTGTAATAACATTTCTTATTAATACAAACGAACACTCCCTGTTTTTGGGAAATCAAATTTACACCATACAGAGGGTTTTTTTTTTGTGGAGGAAGATTCTTGTGTGAAGCTTGGTTCTTAGAGTTCTAGGCTTCGGTGGAGATAGCATTAGGAGTTGCCGTTGGAGATTTCACTTTCCTCGTGTGGATAGGAGATCTATTTGGAATCCGATCTAGGGTTCAGTTGGGTGGTTCCTAATTTCTATCAAATTTGTTCTTTCTCTACAATTTGGAGTTAGTTCGCAATGGGAGAAGAAGGTGAAAGCAGGAAGTCGATGGCGAGTACAATACAAGTTTGTTTTCAGAACACTAAGATTAGTGTGGTGAAGTATGATGGCAAAATCAACTTTGGTTTGTGGATGAGCGACGTACAGGATGCGCTCAATGCTCAGAATTTGGAAGAGACCATCATGGTCCACGAGAGGCCACCTAAATATGAAGAGGCGGTATGGGAGAAGATGAATAGGAACGCTTGTGGGGTGATCAGGTCCTGTTTGGAACAGGAGCTGAAATATGATGTGATTGGGGTGACGTCTGCAATGAAGATGTGGGAAATTCTCAACAATAAGTATCTCACAAAGAGTGTTGAGAACAGGTTGCACTTGCTACGAAGACTCTTCAGATTTTAGATGTCCAAAGGCACCTCGCTTGCGGCTCATGTGAACAACTATACTAAGTTGTTGTCAGACTTGGCGAATGTTGATGAGAAGATATCGGATGAGTACAAGGCGATTATTTTGTTGGGCTCCTTACGGATGAGGAGTATGATACCTTCGTGCTCACTTTGTTGAACGGGAGATCTTCTATCAGCTATAGTGAAGTGACTAACGCATTGACCAATTACGACTTGAGGAGGAAGGATAAGAAAACTTCCCGCGCTAGTACTTTAGGAGAGGTCTTGTCGACGAGAGGTAGAAGCCCATATTCGAAAGGTGGTAATAGAGGAAGGTCAAAGTCTAGAGGCCGCCACCAATTAACAAAGAACCAATGTGCATTCTGTAAGGAGCAGGGACATTAGAAGAGAGACTGCCCGAAGCTCAAGGAGAAGGTGAATGGTAAGAAAAAGGGCCCAAAGGCCAATAAGGTGAACATTGCGAAATGCGATGATTCCGATGATTCGTGCTTTTCTCTACTGATTACTCCGGAGGTGAACAATGTGGACGCATCAGATTGGATGCTTGATTCCGACGCTACTTTTCATGTGACCCCTAGGCGAGACTGGTTTGCATCTTTTGAGAAAGTCGACGGGGGCGTTGTTGTCATGGGAAATGATCAATCCTGTGGCGTTTGTGGGATAGGTACCGTGCGGATTAGGATGCATGATGGAGTAGTCCGTGAGTTGAAGGAGGTGAGATTTGTTCCTCAACTGAAGAAAAATCTTATCTCAGTTGGAGCTTTGGAGGCGAAGGGATTCAAGGTGACTTTCGAAAACGCTGTGGCGAAGGTTAAAATGCTGTAGCGAAGGTTACTAAGGGGAGTCCGCAATCGGAATTTGTATTATCTGAAGGGAAGCACCGAGATTGGCCAGGTTGCTTCGGCTATTTCAGAAGCGGACATGAGCAGACTTTAGCACTATAGGTTGGGGCACACAGGTAAAAAGTCACTGCAGGCATTGTGCAAGCAGGTGCTATTGAAGGGAGCCAAGAGTGGGAAGATTGAGTTCTGTGTACACTGTGTTCTTGGCAAGAAGACGAAGGTAAAGTTCGGGACTGCCATTCATCAGACGAGGGGCATCCTGGACTACGTGCACACAGACATTTGGGGTCCCACCAAGACTGCATCACTTGGTGGTCGACATTGGTTCGTCACGTTCGTTGATGACTATTCTAGGCGATGTTGGGTGTACACCATGACAAAGAAGAGTGAAGTCCTAGATATATTCGTGGAGTGGAAGAAGAGATTGGAACTGCAGACTGGGAGAAAGATCAAGACGTTGCGATCCGACAACGGTGGTGAATATACTTCAGACCCCTTTCTGCAGCTATGACGAGACGAGGGCATAGAGAGGCACTTCACGGTTAGTCATACACCGCAGCAAAATGGGGTGGCAGAGAGGTTGAATCGGTCTTTACTGGAGAAGATCCGATGCTTATTGTCGCAGAGTGGTTTGGAGAAGATCTTTTGGGCTGAGGCACTTACATATGCGAGTCACCTCATTAATAGGCTGCCTTCATCTACGATTGAGGGGAAAACCCCTATGGAGAAGTGGTCGGGAGAGCCAGCACGAGATTATGACCAGCTCAAGGTATTCGGGTGTCCTGTATTTTATCATGTGAGAACAGATAAATTTGAACCTCGAGCTAGGAAGGCCATATTTGTAGGATTCAAGCGTGGTGTCAAGGGATACAAGCTTTGGGATCCAGTTGATAAGAAGATTGTGCTGAGTAGGGACGTCACGTTTGATGAAGCTTCTATCTTGAAGCTTCCCAGCTCTCATCAGGTGGAGAGCGACCCGACGAAGGAGATATCGCAGGTGGTGGAGATCGATACAGCTCCACATGTTGGGGTACTATAGGTTGGGGCACACAGGTGATAATCTCTCCAAATCAAGACGCGGAACTCATCACCGCGTTCTAAGACCAAAACGCGGAGGTCCTCCCCGTGTATCAACACCAAAACATGGAGGTCCTCCCCGTGTATCAACACCAAAACGCGGAGGTCCTCCCCGTGTGTCAACAGTAAAACGCGAGGGTTGAACCCACATTACAACATCAAAACGCTGGAGTCGGACCCGCGTTACAACATCAAAACGCTGGAGTCGAACCCACGTTACAACATCAAAACGCTAGAGTCGGACCCGTGTTATAACATTAAAACGCTGGGGTCGGACCCGCATTTTTCAATGCCCAGCGGGTACCCAACTCCGCGTCTCCAGTCTAAAACGCGGAGTTAGGGTCCTGAACGCCAACGTGGACGTTTGACTCGTTCAAACACGAGCTGAACGGTTGTAGGAATCGTTTTCCCTCCATGATTTGAGGGATTTCCGCCCCACTTAGGAGCGGATTAAGGGGCGGTTACACCCCCCCCCTCAACCCCATTATGGAGAGAATTAAGGGGGGCGGTTACAACCCTTAATTCCATATAAATATGGGTAAACTCAATTGAGTTAAAGGCTGGCCTTTTTGGGATCTAAGAGTTGGCAGCGGTCTGTTGGAACTTCTTGGCAGCAAAGAGGGAGATCTTGGAGCATCATAGATTGAGAGATCGGCATCCATCCTTTGGAGCATTCCTTGAAGCCTTCGGTTTTGGCTTGAGAACTGATTCTCGGTTCAAATTAACTCTTTATCAAGAGTTCAAACTCGTTCAGAGTTATCAACTCGTCCAGAGTTCTAAAACTTACCACGCAAGTTCTCCACAACGTCAAATCGTGAGGAGAAGACATCGTTCCAGTGAATCAAGACGTCAGATCGTCAACGGAGAGCAAACTCGACGCGAGCATTCGAGGGAGGCACTCCATCGCCACCGTGAAGAACCCAGTTTTAAACAAAGGGGAGAATCAAATTCGTTCTCCTCTCTTTTGTAATCAGGAAATTCAACTGTAATTGATTTTGAGAGAATACAAGTCAATTTTCTTTTATTCTCTTTATTACAATTTTTCCAACATACAGCTGCGCACAACGATGAGTTGGATGATGTGACACATTTCTTATGTTTGGTTTATTTTTAAAGGTAAGAAAAGAGATGAAATGAGATGAGTTGGATGATAAAAATAATATTTTATTGGATGTTATGAGTGAGTTTTAGGGATGGAAATGGATAAAAATATTATTTTATTGATTTTTTGTACCGATTTTCTTTTTTTTGATTTTAGGAAACCAACCAAACGGGCCCTTACTTGACAGAAAACAAAGTTCTCCTTCTCTGACAGCAAAGAGTACGATAGAGGAAAAAAAGTGAAGTCAAGGGTCTATCTATAGTTACTTGACAAAAAATTTGACTGTTCCTAGGTATTTTAGCCCTGGACATTATATATATATATATATATATATACAGTGAACCTGTTCACTGTTCTTAAGTATCAGATACTGATAGATGCACAACGAATTAATATTGCCAGCTTAATTAGCCCACTGAATTCTGTACCTAATAATAACTTTCCTTACGCTTTCCATACTGAATTAAATACTTGCTAATGCGTAACATAAAAATGCAAATTGAAGCCAATACAGCCAATACAATGATTGCTCTTCTTAAAGCGCCAACACCCTCCTCCCAAAAAGCCAACCCCCACACCACCCCATGATTCATTGATCCCCTTCAAAGGCCCAGGGTCCTAATCACCGTCAGCATCGCCTCTACAGCTAGAGCTAGAGATCTCATTCAATGGACGGGAAGAGAAGAAAGCCAAGAACGATCAGAAGGAAGAAGAACCTGATTCCAATGCCTCAGGTCACCGCGCAGCTCCGGCGTAAAAGGCATCCGCTCGGCGGCCAGTTCGTCGGAAATCCTTCACGGTCCGCCGCTCCTCCCCTCTCGAGCTCGCGCGTTTGTTGAATCCGGGCGCGACGGCAGCGGCCACTTCTCCTCCACGACCAGCCTACATCCCACGAGCTTCACCATCCTGGCCCACACGCGTGCGCACACTCTCACGCTTGGCCTGGCACGAAGAACTCGAAGTGCTCATCTTCGTGTTCGAGTCCGACGCGATGAGGCCGCGGTGGACGCGCGTGGCCGTCGACGCTGACGCTGGGGGAGGTGAACAGGAGGCTGGTGCGGGTCTGGACGGCGTGCGAGGATGGCGAGGTTTAAGTTCAGGAAAGGGTGCCTGACGTTCTACGTTTACGCGGCGAGGGCGGTGGGGGCGGCCGGGTTCGCGAAGGCGGAGGAGCTGAGGAGGGTTCTGGAGACCGTGGTGGACCTCAAGGACTTCTTGGACCACACGGCGATGCTCGCCGTGCCGAGCCAGCGGAGCATCCAGTTCTCGAGTCCGGCCACCATGGCGTATTGATCGATCGGTCTCTTTAATTTCTAATTGATTGGTTTTTCTCGATTTGTTTGTTTCTATTCTTCGGGTTCGATTGATTCGGTCATCGCATGATTCTGGATCCCTGTCCAAGAGCTGGTGTTATTGCTTTACACGTACGTACGTACTCCTTAGACGCCTCGGTTAGGTTTTTTTTTTTTGTGACTTTTTTTATCCTTGGTGAAAATTTAGCAGATTTTACCGCTAGGCGAAATTAACCCTCATTCAGTTCGGGTTCAATTCGTTCTGTCAAATGTATGACCCTGAATTCTTTGCTCCTTGAGGTATATATTGATTTTGTGTATGAGATTCTTGATTTGTGCACCATCTCAACTGGGAGGGATTAGTTGGGTTGATGATTAGTTAACAACGGCAAGTTGCGCGCGGTGAATCAAAATGCTCAAGATCCAAAAAGACTGGATTTTTGTCAGAGAGCTGCATGTTACGCGACCTGTTAGGTTACGGATCATTGGAATCCTGTCACTAGCTGGCGGTGTAAGCTGCCCAGTACTGATAGCATATGGGTGGATCAGTGAGTAGTTATGGTGGGTTATCAGTTGTGTCCCCTGCTTGTCTTTGTTGGTACATAGTAGACTTTTGATGTGTTTTGGGCAAATTTTGTGAGTAATTATTATTTGATTTTGGAATACAAATTTTATCGGAGTACCTAGAATATGATCTGCTCTGTAGTCGATGAATGAGTAGTTTAGAGATTTCAGCACGAAGACGTTCTGACAAGATTTGTAATCTTATCTCTATGGGTATTTGGTAAGTTTTAACAAGTGAGATGAGATATATCATAGTACTGTGCTAAACTTGTTCGTGTAACTTTAATTAAAGCCTGAGTACTAACAAGTCGTTTATGATAAAAATATATGGAAAATGATAGGGGCACACCCCCAATCACAACCTCAACCACACCAATTTAAAATCCCATGTGAGACCCGGTGTACTGTAACAAATAAGAGAGTGTGTGTGGTTGAGGTTGTGGTTGGGGGTGTGCCCCTAGTGCCACCCAAAATATATCATATTGCTCAGTTGCTAGTTTCTCTATTAAATATTTGTACGGGGCATTCTCTACCAAATCAGGTATCATTATATTAGTTTAAAGGAGTGGGTATGCTTGGGTGTGGCTTACGAGGGTGATGATGAGTTGGTGAGAGGTGGATTGTACATTTGAGGGGGCGTGCAATGAACATGTTAAATTGAAAGGTAAACATGCAAACCCCAAAAATTTTGGGGTGTTTATATGGGTGCAAAAAAATATCCATATCTAAGGAAATATTTGTATTTGTATTCAGATATCTGAATATATATTAGTCTACAGTTACATTAGTTTTCATCCTTAGATTAATGGGTTTGAGGTTAATTTTAATGATCAATCTTACTTTTTCAGATATAACAAATATATTAATGAACTCCCTTGTATCATATGAACTATATTTTTCTAATATTACCTTATTTTCTCATATCCATTTTATATCTAATGAATATTAGATTTGTTGCGCGCAGCGGAAATTTCGGCAGCACTTCGACAGCATAACAAGAGTTAGGTCACAATAAGAATTCTTGTTTCTCAAAGGGAACAATAATCTGAAGCCTAATATCCCATCAAAGTGGGATATTTGCTCTTCCTCTCGTCAGCTCTAGGAATGCGCGTCGAGGGAACCTAAAAAGCTATTACAAATCACACAAATAACGATACAATCAATTTTTACGTGGTTCGGCAAATTGCCTACGTCCACGGGGCAAGGAGGGGGGAGATCTACTAATAGAGGGAGAGAATACAACTAGGGTTTACATAATCTAAACCCTCACACAAACTCTCAGATCCCTCACAATATCTCTCAAAAAGGATGCACAAAATAAACCCTAAAAGAAAAGCCTCTTCTTTTCTTTTGCACCTTCTCTGTAGCCGCAACACACCAAGCCGAAAATCAAATCTCCTGCTCTGCTGTGATTTTCTGCCGCAGCCTCGATTAAACAAACTCCTTGCTTGCCAATCAAAAATCTGAGTTGATGATATATTTATATATGAGCTGATTCGGGTAGGCCTTGGGTTGCCTTGGGTTTCCGCATCAACTTCACGCGGCTTCGTTCACGTGAAATAATTCACGTACGTGGTGGCTGGGCCCCACACTCACAATTCTCCACCTCGGTGAAGTTTTCCCAAAAACTGAGCCGACACCAAAGCATCCAAATATTTCAACTTGTTGTGTCCAGTACGAACTCAATCCATAACAAGTCGAGAACCCGAACGAGAGTCCAAACAATCTCATCCCCTTCAACTAATCCAAACCGGCTGCATCTCAAAGACTGCCTACGTATCCTCTTGCCCAAGGAATCAAGCCGAACGTAGTTCACCCAAATGGCCGCCAACGGCCTCAACAATCACGAATATGCAACAAGTTTCGACAATGATCAAACTTGTTGCTCGGAACCACCTTAGTAAGCATATCTGCCGGATTATCCTTCGTGTGAACTTTCACAATCTCTACATCACCATCTTCAAGAACATCCCGAACGAAGTGATAACAAACGTCAATGTGCTTCGTCCGCGCATGAAAAACCTGATTCTTCGTCAAATAGATAGCACTCATGCTATCACAATGAATACTGACGGACCTCTGCGATATACCAAGTTCCTCCAAAAGTCCTCGAAGCCAAATAGCCTCCTTCACAGCCTCCGTAACTGCCATATACTCTGCCTCTGTCGTAGACAAAGCCACCGTCGACTATAAGGTGCATCTCCAACACACCGGCGTACGGGTCAAAGTGAACACATACCCCGTCGTAGACCGGCGCTTATCCAGATCCCCGACATAATCCGAATCAACATAGCTGCCCACCTGTAGTGTCCCGCTCATAAACTAAACCAACATTGAGCGTACCTCGAATGTACCTCAAAATCCATTTCACGGCGTCCCAATGACCCACTCCTGGATCGTGCATGTATCTCGATACCATGCTCACCGCCTGTGACAAATCTGGTCTCGTACATACCATTGCGTACATCAAGCTCCCAACCGCGCTCGCATATGGAGTCTTCGACATCAACTCACGATCTTCAACTGACTTCGGTGAAAGACCAGCTGAAAGCTTCAAATGGGCTCCCAATGGTACACTAACTGGCTTCGTATCCATGCTCACATGGAATCGCTGTAGAACCTTCTTCAAATAAGCCACTCGTGTCAAACAAATTCTGCCCTTCTTCTTGTCTCTGCCAATCTCTATTCCCAAAATGCGTTTGGCCTCACCCAAGTCCTTCATCTCAAACTCATTTGAAAGCTGAACTTTCAACTCATCTATAGCCGACCTGGAAGTAGAGGCAACTAACATGTCATCGACATAGAGCAACAAACAGATGTACGCACCTCCTTTTAACTTGCGAAAATATACGCAAGGATCAAACTGGCTCCGAGTGTACGAATGACCAATCATAAAACCATCAAATCGCCTATACCACTGTCGAGGAGACTGCTTCAAATCGTATAGCGATTTCTTCAACCTGCAAACCAATTTATCTTTCCCTGCAGCTCGGAATCCCAATGGCTGAGTCATATATATTTCTTCATCAATATCACCATGAAGAAATGCCGTTTTCACATCCAACTGATCTAATTCCAAACCATATTGTGCCACCAAAGCTAGTAAAATCCGAATCGAAGAATGCTTCACCACCGGAGAGAAAACCTCATTATAGTCAATGCCTTCCTCCTGTGCATAGCCCTTCGCAACCAACCTAGCTTTGAACCTCAATGGAGTGCCCCTCAATGCCCTCCTTCTTCGTGTATACCCACTTACAACCAATTACCTTCCGCCCCTTTGGAAGCTCAACAAGCTCCCATGTATCGTTCTTATGAAGAGATTCCATCTCCTCCTGCATAGCCACCTACCACGAATCAGCCTCCGAACTCTGCTCGGCCTCTCTGAATGTAGTAGGCACTAACTCATCGATACTCTCCACTGGAAGTGCATACGTAACTATGTCAGCATACCGTGCTGGCATCTGTATGTTTCTCCTCTGTCTCCGAACTGCAATAGAATCCTGAACCTGAGCCGTCGGTTCCTGATCCTGCACATTTGTACTCGTATCCTCCGTGTCACCGTCGTGCTCGCTTGGCATCACCTCAGTCGGCACATGCATGGATACTGTACCATCTGGACAATGTGGAGCTGCATCGATCTCCACCACCTGCGATATCTCCTCCGTCGGGTCGCTCTCCACCTGATGAGAGCTGGGAAGCTTCAAGATAGAAGCTTCATCAAACGTGACGTCCCTACTCAGCACAATCTTCTTATCAACTGGATCCCAAAGCTTGTATCCCTTGACACCACGCTTGAATCCTACAAATATGGCCTTCCTAGCTCGAGGTTCTAATTTATCAGTTCTAACATGATAATATGCAGGGCACCCGAATACCTTGAGCTGGTCATAGTCATGTGCTGGCTTTCCCGACCACTTCTCCATAGGGGTCTTCCCCTCAATCGCAGATGAAGGCAGCCTATTAATGAGGTGGCTCGCATACGTAAGTGCCTCAGCCTAAAAGATCTTCTCCAAACCACTCTGCGACAATAAGCATCGGATCTTCTCTAGTAAAGACTGATTCAACCTCTCTGCCACCCCCATTTTGCTGCGGTGTATGACTAACTGTGAAGTGTCTCTCTATGCCCCACCCCCATTTTGCTGCGGTGTATGACTAACTGTGAAGTGTCTCTCTATGCCCTCGTCTCGACATAGCTACAGAAATGGGTCTGATGTGTACTCGCCGCCGTTGTCGGATCGCAACGTCTTGATCTTTCTCCCAGTCTGCAGTTCCAATCTCTTCTTCCACTCCACAAACAAATCTAGGACTTCACTCTTCTTCGTCATGGTGTACACCCAACAACGCCTAGAATAATCATCTACAAGGGACCCCAAACGTCTGTGTGCACATAGTCCAGGATACCCCTCGTCTGATGAATGACAGTCCCGAACTTCACCTTCGTCTTCTTGCCAAGAACACAGTGCTCACAGAACTCAATCTTCCCACTCTTGGCTCCCTTCAATAGCCCCTGCTTGCACAATGCCTGCAGTGACTTTTTACCTGTGTGCCCCAACCTATAGTGCCAAAATCTGCTTATGTCCGCTTCTGAAATAGCCGAAGCAACCTGGCCAATCTCGGTGCTTTCCTTCAGATAATACAAATTCCGATTGCGGACTCCCCTCATCACCACCAATGATCCCTTAGTAACCTTCGCTACAGCGTTTTCGAAAGTCACCTTGAATCCTTTCACCTCCAAAGCTCCAACTGAGATAAGATTTTTCTTCAGATGAGGAACAAATCTCACC